TAACCAGGGAACTTTGCAATCGTTGGGCAAACGCCAGCGGAGGGGGTGGAGCTCGTATTTGGCCTGAAAATTTTTCTCGATGGGTGAATTTTTCGTGATAAGCGCGCTCCCTAACTTATTGGTATTGATTGGGGATGTCGTACCTTGCCTATAGGAGAGATATTCCGAGGAATGAAAAAAAAATAGTTTGGACTTTTATGGGTTTTTCCCAGTTCACATGCGCCACCCCTATCCATACTTTCGATGGAGTTTTCGGATAAAACTAGAAATTTTAACGAACAACTCCAAAAAAATGGTAGGAAGCAGGGAAAGGTCAGTAAGATCGTAGGTAGGATGGCAGACTGGGGTCGTTCTTCAAAAAAATTCCCTGCAGCGGTGAGCTTCTCAACATGTCAAAAAAAACTCGTTTGATTTTAAAAACGTTTTTTAAAAGGGAGAGTGTAAAGAGAGAAAGACACTCACTGCAACAATAGTGAAGTCAAATCGCATGTAAATAATCACGGCAGTGAAGAGGGCCAAGAAGAATGCACTGGCAAGCAACGGCTCACGAATCATGTTCGAATATTCAAATTCATAGAAAAGCTGAAAAACTATTGAATTACAGGTATCTAATCTGAGGTAGGTATTAAAATATGTGGCTATTAAAAAAAAAAAAATGAAAAATTCGTAGCAAATACCGTGAATGACTGGATATGTTCCGGTACAAGATTTTCTTTCTGCAGGACAACTACAATCCGGCCAGTAGTATCAAGATACGTAGCGCGGACTTCATCAGGACGGCGATCCATCGTATACGGGGTTGTTAGTTTAATCTTCCTGAACAACACGAAACTCGGATTTCTTCCCAAATAGGCCCGCTAATAGCGTGACACTTTCTCCGCTCGAAGATGAAGCTCGTTTTGCTGTGATTAGGCGTGTGGAGAGCCGTGCGCGAGTGCGGGCGGAGTATGGAAACGGCATCCGGATATTAGTACCCTTCAGCGCGTCCTGTGCACTTTTGCTCGGGGAAAATTTTCAAACTCCCGCAGCGGGGACCCATCCGCTCCAAACATGGCAAGGACCAAGATCTAAAGAGATGAAAAAACACAGTTTGCCTTTAAAACACAATTAAGCTAAATCATACTTGACGAGCTCCGGAAGAACGATTTTCGTGGTGAGTTTCTCAACAACGACGTTATCGAACACGTGATCAAGCACACGCATCTTCAGTGCATAGTCATTTCCTTTATTGTAGAGATATTCGAAAGATGGAACATTGTAGCCAATAACATATGAAGTACGCCATCCTCCATACAATGGGAACCTTAAAAAACATGTCTGAAAAGCAGCAACTGATGAAAAACTAACTATCACTACATACCTAGGCTTTATCTCGACTTCCACAGAGTCTGCTCGAAGCCGCACCGAGGACGTTGAAATATTTCCAATTTCATCACGGTAATATATGTCTTTAGCAGATGCCGGTAGCACCGTCTGCTACAAAGTGAAACGAATAAAAACCTTGCCACGCTCAACTAGTTCCACCACAAACGCGTAAAGTGAGAAATGGCAGTCCGGCTGGCGACGTCCACGATCGATCCATCGGGTGGTCAAGTCGTAGAGACATGGACCTAGAATGCGACATTTTACACGCGAAGGGAACCACGGGATTTGCATACACATGAGTGAAACTGCCAGACCTTTCTGCATGTTTTTTCATTATGAAGTAAACGTGTTTGGCCGATCACTCCATAATCTGCGGCGGCGCACTTTTTGCAGCGGAGCATCTCAAGTCATTTGGAACGACGACCAGCTATATTTCTTCGAATATTAAAAAGGATCAGTAAACAAGATCACGCCTGAAGCCCAAGGAATAAGGAAAGCGCCCCGCAAGTGGACGAACATGATTCATCATCAAGACGATCTTCTTTGGAGAACATCGAGCACAAATCCTTATTTCATCCGGCTGTATACTCGCGCATTTCTTCCCAGACGAACGGTTAAGATCACCGTTGGGAGAATCGTATCTAGTCGCTTGGAAGGGAAGTTTTAGGTAGTTAGAAGTTGTATGCAGCTTAAAACTTTTTCCAGTTACTGACCTTGCCCAATTTTTCGTTTCATGGGGCTATTTCTGAAAAGTCGGGGAAAGGGTAACAGGGGATAAGCCTGGAGCTAGTAGGAGCATGTGCCGGCGTGAGGAGGTTGTGTATGAGGAAGGAACGCATGGCAAAGAGCGTTTCCTGGCTGATAACGCGCCAATTTATACATCACCATATGGTGGCCTCGCTTCGCTGTCATGTAGTTGCATGTCCACATAGGCAAAAACGAAGAGCGATGTTGAACAGGTCTCGTTGACATTTCTTTATGCTTCTTAGAGAATCCCCATTTGAAACGGACTTACCACACTCCGACTAACTATTGCACTAAAATGCCACTTGTACAGGAGTGACGCCACGAATCTTATTGATAGTGAAGACACCAAAATCACCTTCAGTTCAGCTCCCTTGTGAACCAATTCAATGTTATCCTTCAAACCTGGCAATATTCTCCCGCAATGCCGACATTTCAATTGTTCTGCGCTCAATGTTCGTTTGCCCCACGAAGGGGAGAGTTTGTTTTCGTAAGTGGAATTTTTGATGGGGTTTCTGAACACGGACAAATTATCCGGAACCAACTCTCGAACCTGTTAACGGGAAACTAACGCTATTGAACGCAGGCTGATCCTTGTACGGTCCGTAGATTATTCTCTCGTTTTCTTGATTGGTCGGCGAAACTTGCGTAGCTGACAGAGTTTTTCCGTTGCCAATCTTCACAGTTGTTTTCTCCTGAGCAACGGGATAGGCAGCTGCATAATGAAGCATTGCCGTTGTACACGACAAACCTGAATAATTTCGAATAATTCCCAGAAATTTTCATATTTTGGTGACTCGGAGCCTCCTCTTTTAAACGTAGTACGGCGTGAGAAGGGGATGAAAATTTTGCTGCCGAACGGCTCTAAGGACTCCAGAGAAAAACCGTTTTTGTGACCTTTCGCGCTAATTATTTTTCTGCGTCAACAGCCTTCCTCAACTGCCTCAGTTTGCTTCACTTGTTTACACCAGTAGTCTCGCCTTACAGTGCACTGGTTTCAGGGAATATCATACTCACACCAAGACAGATGTAAGGCTGGCTTGAGCGTGACAATACGTGGACAGCTGGAAGTACGCCCAGTTCTCGCTTGAGGAAGGTATACTTTCATCGAAAATAGTCGGATGCGAAGAATACTTCACCTTTTCACTTTTTCGTCCCTCCTTTTAAAATTACCTACGACAAATTTTCTAACAGCGGAAAAAAACATTTGTTCCAAGGCAATTGGGAGGACAGACCTTGAAGGAAGGTTGGGTTCAGGGTCACGTTTCACGAAAGAACAATATCCGCTTTGAGACCCGAAATTGCCATTTTCCATAAGAAACAGGCACGTTATTTCAATGTGTTCACACTACACGTTAGCGTTTTGAGCGTTTGGCCACTTTTAAGAGACGAGGAAAGCATGGCTATCGATTCAGCGTTTGAACGTACGCCAAAGCCAACGTACGCTAGCGTAGTGCAGCTTTCTGGGAAATTATCCTGTCTATCTAGTGTACTGAACTGACACTGGCGCATGCGCATGCTAAAGGGTGAAGAACGCCAAACACTGACGCAAACTATGAACGCGCTCTCACAGACTGTTCAGAAACTGCTAAAAACTATATACGACGGTTGCGAAGTTCGGCCCTTAACACGAGAGACGGCGAGTGCTTGTAAAGCAAGGAAGTTGCTGCAGGTACAACCTTATCAGCCACCACACATCTCAGAATATCTATGCTATTATGCCTTTCTCTTCCTCGGGACTCATCAAAACTATAGATACGTGAAAGCTGTGAGGTTCCTGAACAAAGTAATATGAACGATGGTTCCACGTCCAGACTACCCGTTCATATCGCCCCCCGTTTCTTTCCTTGTTCTTTGCCCCAAATCTGATTTAGCCTACCCTTATTTGTCTCCGTTTCGGAAAGTCTTCGTTTAACGTATCTATTTAACTTTAAAAAAACAACGGCAAAAAATGAATAAACAAAAATGAAAGAAGGAAGCAACAAGAACTCCTACTGATTTTCCTTTTGAGTGATCTTCTCTGGTAAAGGTGAAAGAATTTCGGTGAATCGCTGCTCAACCTTCAACTTAACCTCAGCGCCTTTTGCAATACGGTTCAGAAGTTCGAACCTTGTAAACCTAAAAAGTAATCATCACAAATTCGATATGAAACAACAAAAACATACTGGATACTCGGTTTGGAGGCAAATATTAACTAACCTTAAAACCCTCCTTCTCTGCAGCCAGTTTCGACACTTTCAGTTTACCCTTATTAGTACCCTCTTGAGCAGCGATGTAAGCCAGATGATCGCTTTCCTCTTTGGGGACCAGTATTTCAACTGTGTTGGCCTCCGTAGACCAGTGTTGAAAGCGTCAGCTGCCGATTGAGACTCCTTGACAATCTGCGAATCAGGAAAACATTAATTCAAAATTCATAATAATGCCGCACAAATTTCATTATGAAGATGGAAAAGAGGGACTTAGCAAACAACATAAAGAAAAAATTTCGCATGTACAAATATTTGCAAGAAGGTCATCCTTGAAAAGAGCACCACTCATCTCTAGCAGATGTTCCCTAGTCTCGACGCGCTGGCGTACGGCGTCGAACTCGCTCGGCGTACGCTGACTCAAAACTGGATGACGCTGAGCGTTTTGAGATGAAAAGAAAATTATAGGCATCGATCCAGCGTTTTGAGAGAAACGCCAGAGTTTTGAGCGCTTAGCTGCCTTTTGGTCTCAGAACACTGTCAGTTCTGTGTTTACATTTTCTTGTGCCTTGAGAGGTTGTTAGGTGGAACAGTCAATGAAACTCATTAAAGGCCTAATGTTTCAACTAAATCGTTTCAGAGGCCAATGTTCCACCGTTCAAGCGGATAGGTCTGCTACCACACTAGAGCGCTGTTAGTAGAAAAGTATTTTTAGATTTATTTTTTTTCCTACTAACAGCGCTCTAGTGTGGCAGCGGACCTATCCGCTTAAACGGTGGAACATTGGCCTCTGAAGACGACGATTGAGTCGAAACGTTAGGCCTTTAAATAAATGTTCCACCTAACAACCTCGTAAGGCACAAGAAAACTGAAACACTTACTAACATGCCGAGGTTGCAAGAAGAGAGAAGCTGGAGATTACTGTCACTTCTCTCGAATACTAGATCAATAGTTATGCTTGGCATTTCGCCTGAAACGCTAAAAACGCTAACGAAAAGTATGAAGCAGCCTAAGTACTCTGGTTAATTTAGACATTTGATTTGATGATTCGAAGACCTGCTACAAGAACCCCACCAGTATCCCGAAAAATAAGTCTTCATGAACAAGAAATTCAAGTTTTGATAAATTTCTTCACATAACTTCTGAAGTGGTAACTAGCTTTAGTTAACAGAAAAAAAAACTGACCTGTGAGGAGATGTCAATAGTTCTATCTACATTGAACCACCTTCCAATCAGCGGTAACTGCCAGACCCACAAAAAGGAATAGTGGAAGTACCCACATCCTGAAAAAGAATAATGTTGGGAAGTTCATAGCATCGGAACTGATGATCTGGAAGCCTGTCAACCGTTTACATTCAACAATGATGTGTAGTTTAGAAGTTTTAGAAACGAACGATTAAAAAAAGCGATACTAGAAATCAACCCATTTGTGTGAAAATAGACGGAAGTTAGTAAATTTGTGGAAGGTACAAGAAAAATAAATTTGAGGAAGGTACACAGAAACACTAGACATCAATAAAAAGTTCAGCAATCCCCATGAACACATTACTATTAATGAAAGGAAAGTGAAAGGGTTTGAAATCATCACTAAAAAGCTCTAAAAATCCTGTGGCTTCTTGTTACATGAACCAGAACCATTATAAACCTTTTCCCTTTACTATAAAGAAAGAGGAAGCGC